GACGCTCTAGACCTCGTCATAATACATCTAGTCATTCTATATATATATCTATGGTGGCAAGTATTCAGGGTCAAGTGGGGTTAATTAGAGCTGCACTGGGGATGGGTTTATAGGTAGGACGCAGTGGTTATGCGGGGTCCAGTGCAGTTATCGTATTGACTCCGAACGCCGTGGCTGACGCTGCGTTTGTCCACTGGTCCGGTCTGCGTTTAGCGACTGCTGTCCCCCCTCCCCGCGCAATGGTACTGGTAGGCATGTGCCGTTCGGTGATATCTAGTTTGTGGTTTTACGTTTTAATTCCTGTGTTTTTGTATGTTTGTAGTGGACCTGGGTTAAGGCGGGTGGTTAGCCTGGTGTTTTCATTACGGCTGGCTAAGCGGCAGCTACAGGTTCTGGTAGGTATAAGGTCGACAGGAGTTTTAATGACTGTGAGCTATGACAGCAGGTTTGATTGGTTTGTGTTTTTGTATTGTTTTATTTGTAGGTAGCCTCCCCCTTTCGTGGCTTGTAGTGGGTCGGGCTGCTGTCTTGTCTGTCTTTAGATTATAGTAGTTGGTCTTTTCTTTTCCTTTTTTTTATTATTATGTGTGGTTTGATACGAGTTTATCTGTGTGCGTGAGTAAGCCCCGGTACCTAGCATTATGTGGTTTGCGGTTGGTTATGGGGTGGGTTTTGTCTTTGGTTCTGTTTTGGGTTTTTTTTATTAGTTTTGCTGTGTTTGAATGTGATTTGCTGTGTTTGTTTTTGTTTCGTTGTAAATGCGGGGCTGTGCGATGTTTGGGGTTGTGATTTTGTGTTGATGTATTATGTAATTGTGGTTTGGTTATTGTCATTGTTTATTGTTTCTAATTTCCGGTTGATCCTGTTGTGTTGAGTTGAATAAAAGTGTAATTCCCGTTGAACTTTGCTGGCCACTTGTGGTCAGCTGTGGGTCGTTTTGTTGGACCCCTGAGTACTATTTTCTTATGTCCCTGGGCAGTAGGACCTGGGGTGGCGTAGTCAGGCTACTGTGGTTGGTTTGGGCCTTTCCCCTTACCACTCCTGCCACACTATCAAAGGCAGTTCTATGGCTCATACATGCATCTAAAGTTCATCTGTCAGCCAAATCCATTGTGACACACGAATAAACCAGTAAAAGCAAGCCAACATGGTTACTGTAGAGTAACTTAAAATAGTATTTAAATACCCCATGAAAAAGAATTGTGATAAGACATTGGGACATGATCCTGCCTGAAAAGAATCATGATATATTTTTGCCATATCGCCCCCTCCTATCCCCAGATGT